GAGAGTTCCCTCCTCATCCCCGAGCGTCAGGGCCTTGCCGGACGATCACGGTCAATGGCACTGCAATAGCTCGGGGAAGAGTGGCCCACCCCGGGGAAATTTTGCTTAAAAACTTTCAGCACTGATGGAAGGGATGGTGAATGCGTTTGACTGTCGGAGGAGGGGCCTGAGCGTCTGCCACAGCCGTAAAGGCTTGAGGCGGGGATTTATGGCTTTTGGAGGAGGGGCCTGAGGGTCCGCCGCAGCCATGAAGGCCTGAGGCGGGTAGCGTTCCCTCCTCATCCCCGAGCATCAGGGCCTTGCCGGACGATCACGGTCAATAGCACTGTGATAGCTCGGGGAAGAGTGGCCCACTTCGGGGGGAAAATTTACCTAAAGGCCAGAGAGGAGTGGTGAGTGTGATGAGCCAGCGCTGGAAAAAGAGGACGAGGGCAAGCTGCTGCTGGTGTCGGGGGAAGACGGGGCCCAGTTGGGGTGTCCCATCTCCCGGGTTTCGGCACCAATGAAAGGAAAGGAGTGACAATAGCAGCAATTCACCGGAGAGTTCTGCTTTATTAGGGAAAGGTGCTGGGTTATATAGGAGGGGGCATGAATTGATTGAGGTGTCACTTCTATGGGGCTGGTGGCTGTTGGCTAGGTGCTGGGATTGGGAGGGGGGCGAGAGGTGACTGGGCTTCAGGTGGCGCCGGCGGGAACTGAGGAACCCAAAGAGAAGCCGGAAGTTTGCCATCTTACTGGTGGGGACCCTTCATGTTTGAATGATCAAATGGGAGCTAGTAATAATAAAGAGGGGAGAATAATTGACTGTGAAGAAAATACCATTATCAGCATATAAGAAACATGCTACTTGCTGAATATTCCTTTCAATTAATAGCTCTGCTTTATTTGCTGATTCAAGTACTAGAAGTTTATAGCTGTAATGCATATATTTATACTTACATTGTTATCATTACCTTTATCTGTATCTATCAGAGAAGACTCCTAGATCAAACAGAGTAATATAAAGCAAAAAGGAAGGTGGAGAACTCCAAAGTACAGAAAGCAGATTTGTCTGATTTTTATTTTTATTGACTAGGATTTTTACATACAAGGGGAAAATATAAATGTCCATTTCACAGGTTCAAAATTATTTAAACCACTGAGTGACACCTTTTCTTTAATATTCTTTCTGTCTCTTTCTGGTAACTAAAAAACCAAAAAGAGGGAAGAGAGAGAAGCTTAAGAAAAAAAGGAGAACATGGCAGTGGAAATGCAATGAGAGGGGAAAATGGGAGGAAAAGGAAATCAGAATGAAAAAAGATCCATTGAACTAAGGGGAACCACAGGAAGTCCATACAATAGGGAAAATTTACAAGGAGAGCAACCTACCGGGTGGCTCCCCTCTGCCTCGCCCCCCTCCTCAACCCAAACAAAAAAAGTACACTCCCTTGGTTCCTGATCTGCCGAGCACCGGGTCCCAAGGTTCGCTCCCTAAACTCCCTCTCCCTTGCTAGCTTGCTCGCTGTGCCCATGGGAATGTTACAGATAAGGAAGCAGAAAGGTATATATTGCTCCCTTTTCCTTTGTTCGGGGCTCAGACTTTTTGGGAGGTTTTTCTCCTCTGAGCCCGCTGGTGTGAAATAAAGCCTCAACACTCCAAGACCTCCGAGTGCCGCTTGGTTTTTTCCGTCGGTGATCCAGTCCAGGCATTTTTTTCAGTATTTTCCGTAACACATACTTGCATTTATTAGAACAAAACATCATGCAGTAAGGACAATATGTAGAAATAATGTCCAAATTGGTTTTATTTTTTCTCTCAAAATTTACAGTCTTTTTAGGTTCATCTCCTAAAACAATATTTACTACAAGTCTTGGTTATTCAGGAAAGTCCTGATCCATGTATTTCATATAGTTCAATAATAAGAATTCATTAAGTATATAATACCCAACACTTATGTTATTACTATTACTTGGTATTGATGCCGGGGTCTTGTTTGCAGAGCTGAAGAATGAGCTTCACAGTCAAGGCAGTAGAGCAAGGTACAGGCTTTTATTTAGAGAGAAAGGGAAAGGACAGAGTTCCCGGCTCACGCCAGGAGGGGACAAGAGAGCCCGTAGTGGTGCGTTGTCTAGGGGGTTTTATAGGCAGTTGAGGATTTTTCGAGAACATGAAAATACTTAGGGGTGGGGACTTGTTAAGTGGTCCCTGAATATTAAAAATTAACTTAACTGTAAGGAATTTCGTGCCTTGATTTCTCTCTGGGACACCGGAGCCTTGGTCTGGGAACATATCAAAAGGTTGCCTGCCCAGCCCCCAGGGTGGGCCGAGGAATTGTCTACTTGCTAAAGAATCTTGCCTTTTACTATGTGTTTACAGCTGGGTCTGCATGTAAGTTAGTTGCTCAGTTTGCAGAATTACTGCGTCAGATCCAAAGGAGGAAAGACAGCACATGGGCCTGGGCCTGTAAATCTTACACATGGTTACAAATGATTAGCATAATAAAACAAGTGCTACTCTTCTTTATCTGGGGAACAATAACTGATCTCAATGAAGAATGATCCTAGAGCTCAATGTTTAAAATAGAGTTTTAGTAGGTGGGTTTCCATGCATGTAGTTACATTGCTCTGACTGCAAATATCCTGCCCTGCCCCCTCCAGAGGCCCTCACCCTACTGTGACTACATCTATGGTCCCTGTCTCAGTATGACTGGAATGAATCTCACGTAATAGGTACATAGATCAGTAAAGACTCTTTTGTCAGAACACTTGCCAGTTTTTGGATTTAAAAATGTGGATGTTCTTTCTGTGATCTTCCCCAGGCTGTCATTAGGGTAGATGAAGCATGTCTCCCTCCCTGGGTCTCTCCCTTTCTTTCATTCACTCTGCTACTTCTGAGACAGAGCTGGAAAATGGGAAAATGGTCTTGCCATTGTAAAATCTACTTAGCCTGCAAAAAGGCCCAGTTTATTATTTAATTTAATCTATATGTTGTTCTTCCTCTTCTACCTCCTTAATCAATTCAGCAACTTTGTAGCCAGGATGAGAGACAGAAGTTCACAGTGAAAACAAACCTACTTGGGTAAAGAATCTTGAGATCTGGATCAACACATTCACCTAAATAACCCTATTCTTAGACAAAACTTCAAAGGAATTATGAATCACCTGTATCCACCATACCTTATATGGACCCCTCCCCAAAAGACTCAGTAAATCCCCAAACCCTAAACCCTTAGGTGTACCTCCTCTCTGAGGTCACCAGCACACCCATCTGAATTTGTACTGGTTTATCAAATAAACTTTCTTGCTTCATTAGCCTATTGCACTTCCCTCTCAAATTCTTTTTCACAATAAAGACAAGAACTGGAAGACCTCTACCTCTGGTGGTAAGTGTCTTTGTCACTGCTGTTTCATTTAGCTTTCTTGTCTTAAATGCAGTCCTTTCCCTCTCTCCCTGCTTTATTTCAGACCAGTAGGGAAGTGGCTGTAGGAACTGTAGGATCTGAAAAATCAAAAGTCAGCATAAGTGCATAAGTACAGCCATCTTAAAGGCTTAAACACCACCCTCTAACCTAGAAGAAGGAAAATTATTAGAATCTTGAAAAACAAGTTAGTCAGCCAGTGTTAAATGTAGTGACCTTCAGTTAGCTAACCTCAAATCAGTTAACCATGAACACCAGGTGGTGGGCAGCTGCAGCCTTCAGACAGCTAACCTTGGTCGGATAGTCATGCATACCAAGCTTATCTTGCTGAAACACTGTGTAAGAAAACACTGTCTTTTTGAAAATGCTATGCTATAAAAACCTCTGGCTTTGACTGTTCGGGGTCCTCGTTGAGACCCTCTGCATCGGGCTAACTTGGACCCCACCTAGCTGGTTCCTGAATAAATTCCTCTTGCTTGTTGCATCAAGAGACGCCTTTTGTGAGTGATTTGGGGCGGCGTCCTCCTCAGGGAGAATCCAACAGAACCTCAAAGTAGGGAGGGGTTTGCATGTTCCAGTTGCTTCAGTGATAACTGGACTGCTGCCATTCCAACACTTTCTTTAGCAGCCTGCCAGAAAAGTCTCATTGCTTTGGGAAATTCTCAGAACATAATCTCACTCCATCCAATGCTCCATGGCTTCCCTGAATTCATGGGTGGTAGGCATATAATTCCCATGTATTGCAGATAAAGCAGACATTGGATACTGGGAATCCCTGGAGGTGGCAAGAAATTCGCCCTATGCTGAGCAGGAGTTTAATGGATTTCCTTTTCTTTGTTCTTCTTTGCTCTCTACTGCATGCATGGCTGCTGGCATTTGCTACTTCTCTTGTTTTAATGAATTTCTTTCTTGCTGGCACTTGTTTGACCTGATTGTGAATTCTTTCCCCATCAGAGTCAAGAGTCCTCCCCCATCCAGGCTGAGGTTTCACAGTGCACAGGGAAAGATATCCCCAGATGCAGCTGCCTGGCAGCAATTCCAGGATTGTCATAAAATGTACCCCAAGGAACAGAATACTAACTTTTCCCCCTTTTGCTCTGTACTCTCCAGCCTTTTCTCAGTAGGGTGGGGCTTCCTGTCATGAGTGTCAGGCCTGAGCAGGGTTTGTTGTATGAGGCTGATTGGTTGCAGAACAGGAACAGTTGCAGAAGAAAGACATGATACTCACCATACCAGGGTTTAGTTAAATGTATCTTATGGTGAAAATGTCCTCAGCAACAAGGCAAAGCATCATGAAGAGGTGGCTGGTCGCTGTGCTGGCACTTTTGTGCACCCAGGCTTGCTGTGAGTTGGGGCTGTCCCTCATGGGCATCTGAGAGGATTTTGAAGATGCAGTATCATTGAGGGAGGAGGGCAAGGGGCTCACAAGTCTTGCAGACTCCCTATCCTTCTCATACTCTGGGTAAGGTTGTATAGTGTGAGGGTGACCCTACCTGTGACTCTGTCTCCACTTCTCATCAGGTGTGAGTGGGGTAGAGGTGGAGCAGAGTCCCCCAGCCCAGAGTCTCCAGGAAGGAGCCACTTCCATGCTGCAGTGCAATTTTTCCACCTCTGTGAACAGCGTGCAATGGTTTCACCAAAATCCTGGGGGCCACCTCGTTCATCTGTTTTACATTCCTTCAGGGACAAAGCAGGATGGAAGACTTAACTCTACTACAGTCTCTAGAGAACGCCGCAGCTCCTTGTACATTTCCTCTTCACAGACCACAGACTCAGGCATTTATTTCTGTGCTGTGGGAGGCACAGTTCTTCCCAGGCACCTGCAGCCTGTATACAAACCCTCAGCTAGGCTCAGCATCTCCTCTAGCCACAGCCACATCATGAGGCTGAGACAGGGACCATGGATGTAGTCAGAGTAGAGTGAGGCCTCTGGAGGGGGCAGGGTGGGATATTTGCAGTCAGAGCAATGTAACTACGTGCAAGGAAACCCCCCTACTAAAACTCTATGTTAAACATTAAGCTCTAGAATCATTCTTCAGTGAAATCAGTTAATGTTCCCCAGATAAAGAAGAGTAGCACTTGTTTTATTATGCTAATCATTTGTAACCATGTGTAAGATTCACTTAAGCATGCTAAAAGGCCCAGGCCTATGTGCTATCTTTCCTCCTTTGGATCTGATGCGGTAATTCTGCAAACTGAGCAACTAAATTAGTATGCAAGCCCAGCTGTAGGGTCTTGTTTGCAGAGCTGAAGAATGAGCTTCACAGTCAAGGCAGTAGAGCAAGGTACAGGCTTTTATTTAGAGAGAAAGGGAAAGGACAGAGTTCCCGGCTCACGCCAGGAGGGGACAAGAGAGCCCGTAGTGGTGCGTTGTCTAGGGGGTTTTATAGGCAGTTGAGGATTTTTCGAGAACATGAAAATACTTAGGGGTGGGGACTTGTTAAGTGGTCCCTGAATATTAAAAATTAACTTAACTGTAAGGAATTTCGTGCCTTGATTTCTCTCTGGGACACCGGAGCCTTGGTCTGGGAACATATCAAAAGGTTGCCTGCCCAGCCCCCAGGGTGGGCCGAGGAATTGTCTACTTGCTAAAGAATCTTGCCTTTTACTATGTGTTTACAGCTGGGTCTGCATGTAAGTTAGTTGCTCAGTTTGCAGAATTACTGCGTCAGATCCAAAGGAGGAAAGACAGCACATGGGCCTGGGCCTGTAAATCTTACACATGGTTACAAATGATTAGCATAATAAAACAAGTGCTACTCTTCTTTATCTGGGGAACAATAACTGATCTCAATGAAGAATGATCCTAGAGCTCAATGTTTAAAATAGAGTTTTAGTAGGTGGGTTTCCATGCATGTAGTTACATTGCTCTGACTGCAAATATCCTGCCCTGCCCCCTCCAGAGGCCCTCACCCTACTGTGACTACATCTATGGTCCCTGTCTCAGTATGACTGGAATGAATCTCACGTAATAGGTACATAGATCAGTAAAGACTCTTTTGTCAGAACACTTGCCAGTTTTTGGATTTAAAAATGTGGATGTTCTTTCTGTGATCTTCCCCAGGCTGTCATTAGGGTAGATGAAGCATGTCTCCCTCCCTGGGTCTCTCCCTTTCTTTCATTCACTCTGCTACTTCTGAGACAGAGCTGGAAAATGGGAAAATGGTCTTGCCATTGTAAAATCTACTTAGCCTGCAAAAAGGCCCAGTTTATTATTTAATTTAATCTATATGTTGTTCTTCCTCTTCTACCTCCTTAATCAATTCAGCAACTTTGTAGCCAGGATGAGAGACAGAAGTTCACAGTGAAAACAAACCTACTTGGGTAAAGAATCTTGAGATCTGGATCAACACATTCACCTAAATAACCCTATTCTTAGACAAAACTTCAAAGGAATTATGAATCACCTGTATCCACCATACCTTATATGGACCCCTCCCCAAAAGACTCAGTAAATCCCCAAACCCTAAACCCTTAGGTGTACCTCCTCTCTGAGGTCACCAGCACACCCATCTGAATTTGTACTGGTTTATCAAATAAACTTTCTTGCTTCATTAGCCTATTGCACTTCCCTCTCAAATTCTTTTTCACAATAAAGACAAGAACTGGAAGACCTCTACCTCTGGTGGTAAGTGTCTTTGTCACTGCTGTTTCATTTAGCTTTCTTGTCTTAAATGCAGTCCTTTCCCTCTCTCCCTGCTTTATTTCAGACCAGTAGGGAAGTGGCTGTAGGAACTGTAGGATCTGAAAAATCAAAAGTCAGCATAAGTGCATAAGTACAGCCATCTTAAAGGCTTAAACACCACCCTCTAACCTAGAAGAAGGAAAATTATTAGAATCTTGAAAAACAAGTTAGTCAGCCAGTGTTAAATGTAGTGACCTTCAGTTAGCTAACCTCAAATCAGTTAATCATGAACACCAGGTGGTGGGCAGCTGCGGCCTTCAGACAGCTAACCTTGGTCGGATAGTCATGCATACCAAGCTTATCTTGCTGAAACATTGTGTAAGAAAACACTGTCTTTTTGAAAATGCTATGCTATAAAAACCTCTGGCTTTAACTGTTCGGGGTCCTCGTTGAGACCCGCTGCGTCGGGCTAACTTGGACCCCACCTAGCTGGTTCCTGAATAAATTCCTCTTGCTTGTTGCATCAAGAGACGCCTTTTGTGAGTGATTTGGGGCGGCGTCCTCCTCAGGGAGAATCCAACAGAACCTCAAAGTAGGGAGGGGTTTGCATGTTCCAGTTGCTTCAGTGATAACTGGACTGCTGCCATTCCAACACTTTCTTTAGCAGCCTGCCAGAAAAGTCTCATTGCTTTGGGAAATTCTCAGAACATAATCTCACTCCATCCAATGCTCCATGGCTTCCCTGAATTCATGGGTGGTAGGCATATAATTCCCATGTATTGCAGATAAAGCAGACATTGGATACTGGGAATCCCTGGAGGTGGCAAGAAATTCGCCCTATGCTGAGCAGGAGTTTAATGGATTTCCTTTTCTTTGTTCTTCTTTGCTCTCTACTGCATGCATGGCTGCTGGCATTTGCTACTTCTCTTGTTTTAATGAATTTCTTTCTTGCTGGCACTTGTTTGACCTGATTGTGAATTCTTTCCCCATCAGAGTCAAGAGTCCTCCCCCATCCAGGCTGAGGTTTCACAGTGCACAGGGAAAGATATCCCCAGATGCAGCTGCCTGGCAGCAATTCCAGGATTGTCATAAAATGTACCCCAAGGAACAGAATACTAACTTTTCCCCCTTTTGCTCTGTACTCTCCAGCCTTTTCTCAGTAGGGTGGGGCTTCCTGTCATGAGTGTCAGGCCTGAGCAGGGTTTGTTGTATGAGGCTGATTGGTTGCAGAACAGGAACAGTTGCAGAAGAAAGACATGATACTCACCATACCAGGGTTTAGTTAAATGTATCTTATGGTGAAAATGTCCTCAGCAACAAGGCAAAGCATCATGAAGAGGTGGCTGGTCGCTGTGCTGGCACTTTTGTGCACCCAGGCTTGCTGTGAGTTGGGGCTGTCCCTCATGGGCATCTGAGAGGATTTTGAAGATGCAGTATCATTGAGGGAGGAGGGCAAGGGGCTCACAAGTCTTGCAGACTCCCTATCCTTCTCATACTCTGGGTAAGGTTGTATAGTGTGAGGGTGACCCTACCTGTGACTCTGTCTCCACTTCTCATCAGGTGTGAGTGGGGTAGAGGTGGAGCAGAGTCCCCCAGCCCAGAGTCTCCAGGAAGGAGCCACTTCCATGCTGCAGTGCAATTTTTCCACCTCTGTGAACAGCGTGCAATGGTTTCACCAAAATCCTGGGGGCCACCTCGTTCATCTGTTTTACATTCCTTCAGGGACAAAGCAGGATGGAAGACTTAACTCTACTACAGTCTCTAGAGAACGCCGCAGCTCCTTGTACATTTCCTCTTCACAGACCACAGACTCAGGCATTTATTTCTGTGCTGTGGGAGGCACAGTTCTTCCCAGGCACCTGCAGCCTGTATACAAACCCTCAGCTAGGCTCAGCATCTCCTCTAGCCACAGCCACATCATGAGGCTGAGACAGGGACCATGGATGTAGTCAGAGTAGAGTGAGGCCTCTGGAGGGGGCAGGGTGGGATATTTGCAGTCAGAGCAATGTAACTACGTGCAAGGAAACCCCCCTACTAAAACTCTATGTTAAACATTAAGCTCTAGAATCATTCTTCAGTGAAATCAGTTAATGTTCCCCAGATAAAGAAGAGTAGCACTTGTTTTATTATGCTAATCATTTGTAACCATGTGTAAGATTCACTTAAGCATGCTAAAAGGCCCAGGCCTATGTGCTATCTTTCCTCCTTTGGATCTGATGCGGTAATTCTGCAAACTGAGCAACTAAATTAGTATGCAAGCCCAGCTGTAAGCAGCATAGTAAAGGGCAGGAAGAATTCCATCTTGAAGATAAGATTGCATTTTAACACCCAGGAAGTTCAAGAGGCAAGATTCTTTAGCAAGTAGACAATTCTTCAGCCCACCTTGGGGGCTGGGCAGGCAGCCTTTTGATATGCTCCTAGACCAAGGTGCTGGTGTCCCAGAGAGAAATCAAGGCAGGAAATTCCTTACAGTTAAGTTAATTTTTAATATTCAGAGACCACTTAACAAGTCCCCACCCCTAAGTACTTTCATGTTCTCAAAAAATCCTCAACTGCCTATAGAACCCCCTAGACAATGCACCACTACGGACTCTCTTGTTCCCTCCTGGCGTGAGCTGGGAGCTCTGTCCTTTCACTTTCTCTCTAAATAAAAGCCTGTACCTTGCTCTCCTACCTTGACTGTTTGTGAAGCTCATTCTTCGGCTCCGCAAACAAGAACCCCGGCATCAAGGCCACTACAAGGTATTTGCACAGCTTAATATTACCTACACTGGGACAGTTTTAATCATGGACTCATTTTAGCCCTACAAATTTGGGGCTTTCGTCTTTATCATCATTCTTAATTTGTATCCTTCTGCACTTATAAACCTCTAATTTGGAACTAGCAGAGTAGCGGATGAGAGGGCAGAATTAAAATAATGATTTAAGCCACAGTATGATGGACTATTAAAAGTAAAAAGTGGAAGTACTAAAAAGACAAAAATTCTCTCCAATTAAAGGTGCTATTAGACAATAATCCAGCTTATTTGGGTGTCTCAAGAATGCTCAGGTCTGCTTCACCACAATGTGCCCCAACAGGTAATTGAAAATACTTGCATCTCATCTATAGAGGAAATAGAAATTTTATGACCAGGTTTCTCACCTGGCTTTAATATTGCCCTAGTATACAGATAAGAGCCTGTTTGCATACATATGGGTGGCAGGATGTTTACTGATGGACAGAACCACCCAGAGGCAACCAAGAATCATGGAAGTAGCAGCCCAGGGGAGGGGTGGAGAGGGAACACACAAGCACCTGGATATAACTGGTTGAGCACCTGCCAGTCACCACAGAGACCC